GAGATCGACAATTCTACCACTGTCATCCAGTATAGTATTTACAGACTTCAAATTAACTAGACGAAAGGGCCAATTGCAAACTTTTAATGATTGTGATACCCGATGAAGTGCAACATATTGTGAATGAAGCGTCATGCTATACGAAGGTAATTATTGTACTCTCTATGTATATGTAAATTGTTGAAAATTCCTTCCTTGTCCAAATTTCTGTCATCTTTACAACTCCATCATCTTTCAACAAATTGAGTAAGTGCCGAAAACGAATTATGAACAGCGGATAACGTGTTTTTCATGAAGGCGTCTACGGCAATGGGACATGTGCCCTTGAGTCGACCTGTGAAACGGGAAACAACAATTTGCAAGTTGAATTTGCTTATGCAAATCAGGTTCCCATGTTTTGGAGAAAAGCCGATCTCATGATTTTGGCGGAATGCCAAAAAGAACTTCTCAGGGGGATAATCACATTATTTTGCTGCTTTTTTGCAGTTTTTCTGTTTCAGAAAGCGTGGATGGAAATTCTTGAAGAAGGCCGATGCGATATCTGTGCAACATAATCGGGTCAAAGATCGCCTAATGGATGAGGTAATCAATCTAAATTAATTAATTAAAAATGAAAGAAGGTCATTCAAGAAGCTAAGCGGGAAAGGAAACGTTTCGCTGAAACTCTGATATTTTCAAATTTTTAGGTGTTGAAAACACTGGCTTTATACCGAAAAGAGAACTACCATCCATCGGCGTTTCGTGCGCCGAAAGAAATTCGTGAAGCTGAGGAAGGCTTTGAGCGGGTAGGTTGCTTAATGAAAAAAAAACGACTTAATACAGCGCTGATTTATTTCTTATTTTTCAAACGCACTTTTTTTTGTAGATTTTTTGCACTGAAAAAATGTTTCTCTTTTATTTGTTTTGCGAGACTTCGGAACATTTCTTCGCGTCGTCAAAGGAAACGCTAAGATGATTCATGTGACTGTAGCGAGCGCACTATCGTTCGCCTTTAGGCTCTAGACTTTTTTCGTGTGGCAAATGCCAAGGGCATGGCACATCCGAAGGAAATATTTGGTTACTGCTACATTCAGTTTTTTTTTCGGAGAAACCAGTTAAACTCGTTGGGGCAAACCTGGCATGCCTTCACGTTATTACCAAGGGACAAAGTATTCCAAAAGTAGCTAAGGGAGAAAATTTCAACAGTGAACCTTTCATTTTTCTGAGCGCAGCTTCATCCGCGCTCTGGAAAGGCTTTCTGTTTTCTACAGTTAGTGTTATACTCCTAGTGGAAAGCTTTGTAAGTCATGAGAACGGATTCACAGTGCGTTTCAGAGACAGAAGGCAGGAATTCTGCCTTCAATAGCGATAAATTCTGAAGCAGATGTCCTTTTAACCCCGCTCCACCGGCTCTCTTTCGGTCAAGTGCAGGGGTTCCGATTGGGGTCGAGCAATCCTTTCCATGTGTTTTTTCTACACTCAACAAGAGTGCTGAAGGTCACCGGAAGGCTGCAGGCAGACAATGAGAAAAGGATTTTATGATTAGGTTCTTGGATTGTGTGAAAATCACTGAGTCTGTTCTTAGCAACTCTTCGAGGTTTAAAAACTGACGTAAAACTAAACCTTATTTCTATAAACGCCTAGAAACTATTATTTATGAATAAACGCCTGAAATTATTTCTACAACTAAGTTTTTAATGGCAACAAAACATTAGCACATCCTATGTGTGTCGTAAAAGAGATTTAAGAACCAAGTAGATCACAAATTTTCTTGAGGTGTTCCTGTCTTGTTTTTCACAGTTTTTTGATCGTTTCGGCGTGCTCTCAAGTGTCACTTCAAGACGCTCTTCGTTTATGATATTAATAGTCGTCTCTTTTGCTCAAGTCCACTTCTGCCATCCTTACGGTTTTAGAAAATAAACGAGGTTCTACGCCCAAACCTGCTAGCTAAGGTAATAGTATAGAATGAAGTTAATTATGTTTACAAAAAACAAGTTGAATCGAACTAATTTATTTATTACTATCCTGATAACGATGTTTATTCGAAAATGACAACATTATTCTATGATTTTGGTTTATATTTATTTGGAGGGGTGGTGAACAAAGAAGTCGTTTAGTCTCCGTTTCGCACGTGACCCTTAACAGAGACTAAACAAAATAAGTCTACTCCCTCTGAGCTCATCAGTAAGAAATCTGGGGAACAACTCCTGGCGGGGCACATGCCTGAGATCGAAGACGGCTTGATCCTTACTTGGTCAATATTTTCGATAATTATGGTAAACTACTCGCGGCTGGTATCAACTCTATTGCTCACTTCTTACCTGCCTTCTGGTGAGAGCCGAAATCCTTTTGAGTCAGTAACTATAACTGACCTTTAGTGGCGCCTGCTCTGCTCGTGCGGTTGTTTAGACTAGGCCTTGCAGTAAGAACGATCTCGTCGACAACGTCAGGCCAACTCATAAAGTCTTCCACTATAAACCTTAAATTGGAGGAACGAAGAGCTTGTAAGCAAACATACCGGAAGGTTCTACGAAGGGAAAGTTGGAGTTTGCTTGACATCCTTCTTTCGCCTTTTACGACACTTTTGCTTTTTTTTCCGATCCTCCATTTTTTTGGTTTAGAGCTGGCTGTCGTTCATGTGGCAGGAACTGTTGCAAATTTCAAAGTCCAAAGTATCGTATGATTTCCTGGGATGTTTTTAGTAATGTTCTACTGAATTCAAACTAGTCAGCCATTGCGCTGGTCAAATTTCAGGATAGGCGCGATCTCCACCGCTACAAATGAGCTCTCATTAGTACTAAAAAGACTAACTTTCCTCACATTTCCCAGAAAATCTGTCGATTGAAGAGGGAAGGAAATGTGTAGACACAAAACGGCAAATAACAAAAAGTTTCCGAATTCTTCCGCATTTCTCGATAATTCCCCTAGCAGTCTCTTCCACAGATGAAGAAAAATTTGATCAGATACAAATCTTATAGTCGAACTTTGACAAAAAGAACTGTTAACAGCTTCTGATTGTTAGCTGCTGTTTTTGTAGCACACTTGCCCGGTAAACAAGAGGTGCGGGTTCGAGTCCAGACTGGGGCGAATGTTTTGTTTACAACCCAGCATTCTTGTGAAACAGTTAACAGTGTTCAGACACAGCTCGTCTGTTGAGGCTCATTTCTTCAAGTAGTACTGCATTCACGTGTAGCTTTTTTGATTTATGTGTATAAAATTGTTTACTGTATTTTTTGCAAGGAAATCCCAGTCAGATATGTACTGTCCAGCCTAATCGATTTTTCCATAAACATGACCGGCGACATTCTTGTTCTATCGAGTTTAGGAGCTGGTAGGGCGCTACTGTACCTAGCCTGGATTATAGCATATGCTGAATGTTTTGATCCATTACAAATCAGAAAAATCGGTTCTAGAACATTCCGCCGTTTGACGTCCCATTTCCGTTATCTTCCATTATCATCCTGTTTTCTGTCTTTTGTCAACGTTTTTCATCAGACTGGCTCGTGATTCGGTGAACTCACTTCCTCACGGATGCAGTCTCGGAGGTCGTCGGCTCGTTCGCGGCGTGGTGTTGACGCACTGTTGTCGGTGCTGAATGTTGCTCTGTGAGCGCTTTACGGGAGTCGCGTAGGCCTTACGGCTGTTTGCGCTGTCGAGATAACATTCGTCGTCCAACCACTTAGTGCCTGGTCTAGACCATACCGAGAGGGACCATTGAATCGGAGAACCGTATAGGCCCGTTGAAAACCGGATGAGACAGCCGGATTTTGGGGCTGTAAACATTACATGGAATGGGCTCAGAGAAAAATTCGTTACTGCGCATAGATATGTAGTGCGAGACAGCTAGTCGTTTTTGAACCCTTTTTGAAGTATTGTTTTTGGTGAAAGCGTGTACCTATTGTAAGTGACGTGGCTTCTGAGCCGGTTAGTCAGAATGCGAGAAAATGACCCTTATTCCGGCGGAACTTCACATAGTTTCATATAGCACAGTTTAATTGATTCATGTTGTAGGCTAGATTCCCGGAAAATTCCAGAAATTGTTGCGATAATTACACATTTGTTCACAGGCGGCTATAGTTTCTGTTTGTACCATGTGCATGTGAGCTGTTACCAAGATCATATTAAAACATTGACAACAGCGTGGCGCAGTTGCGCGTCACGTTTTGCATCTATGACACTTGTTCTCTTAATTTTTCTGGATTTTTACATGTTTCAAACTATCCTTGTGCTTTCTCGCATTTTAAAAGCTGCACCCTCGTTACCGATAATGGAAGAATTAAGGGAGTAAAGGCAGTTCATGGAAAAAGTAAAAAGAAATTACCGAGATACGCGCATAACGGCTGTCATCGATGTGTTAAAGTACAAAATCGCTTCGTGATCCTCTGGCTGGCACGATAATCGATCAAGTGCACGCACGTTCTCACACCATGTCTAGGCTCATATTCAGAGGATAGTACGTTTGTATTTGGAAAGAGCGCTGTGATTATACGGACCTTTTTATATAACACGATGTTTTTGTTTACTTTTGCCAGTCAGTGAATCGTCTGACTGAATCAACTACTGTACTGTATCAACAATTGTAAAAATTATTTTCATAGTAAAGGCCAGGCCGTCTGCGCGAAAAATTTTTCGCGATATCAAATAATTTTTATAAAATATTTTTTGCTTTGAGTTTCGAAAAATTATTTAAAAAAAATAATTTTAATATTCCCACTCGTAAGCATTTTTCCTTTTCAGGCTCAGCGAAAGTGGAAAAAACTGTACGAGAAACTCGAAGCGAGCAAAAAAGCCTATTATAGTGCGTGTCGTCAGGAAAAGTCCGCTTTAGTGAATCTAAGCAATAGCCAGGTGAGGAATTGCTTTTCCTGTAAAGAAGAAAGTTGTCTATCTGAGCAAGAGCTACCTGCCTGAGGTGATTTGTTTAGGCCGATTCGTCGCTGTCGCAGGATGGCGCACAGAAATTTCGCGATCGTCTGGAAAAGTGCCGGGAAGAGGTGCAAAAATGTAAATCTGCCTATGAAAAGAATATAGCGGAAATCACACAGTACAGGTAATAGTCACAACTTTATTGGTGTTCCGTTGGTTTTTGGACGGATATCTTTGGTTTTCTACCTAAAAATGCGTTGTTTGGTTGTTGTAAACGGCTTCTGCGTAACATTCTTGCACAATTATGGCGTGGCTGTCGTCGACCAGCGTCAAGCCGTCGCGTTCGCACTTTTTCAAAAATTTTGCGACGCTAACACCACCATGAGACTTAGGAGGCTCCCCCAAAATCCCCCTCCTCCATACCTCGGCCGCCACCCTCGCCATTATGGCTGTTTCTATGGTGTCTGATTCTGAGACCGACACAGGCGGGGGTGTAAACTGGTATCATGAAGTGCCAAATCCACTAATTTGGCCTAATTTTCACGGCTTTTGTGAAGCTCTCACCACATGCGTAAAAAAACCGTCTAAACACAACCCCCACGACCTCCCTCCATCTCCTCCGTTCACTTTGACAAACGTTGTTCAGACCTCGAGATATCCGACTTCGCCCTCCCCAAATTCACCATCGAGTACATACAGGGGGGGCCAAAAAAAAAAGACATTTTGCCTATGTCGGACTTCGGCTCTTTTTTCTTCGCAGAGATTGCTGTCGTTGACGGGAGTTCCTCAGCAGAGTATTCCCTAAGTGTCCCTCTATAAGTGAACGCAGGCCTCTCCTTCACTGCCCTCACCGTCTTCAGAATATGACGTCATCTGTCACCGTCGTCAGGCTCAAGGAGGTCTACCGTAAGAGCTTCAGCCTGAAGCTCTTACGCAATTTCGTGAATCGATTTAATGTTGGATAGTTTTCTAGAGGCATTAGCTACCACTGTGCAAATCCCCTCGGAACTAGCTTTCCAGTAAGGGTCGTTATGGTACACGATCCTTCGAAGACCCCATTGAGATCGACCAGTGCACCATGTTTCCAGGGCTAATTCTTCTGATGCCGTCCACGTACGTGGCCACTATGAAGATTTTCTTATAGAATGGAATGCACTCTTTAATAATAAGTTGGAACCGTTCGGTCTGAGTTGAGTAAAATGTGCTTAAATCCATCTGGAAGTGGAGGCAAAATGTCTTTTTTTTTTTGGCCCCCCCTGTATATATCGAATCGGATATGAGATCGAAGTTATTACGGAGTTAATTTTTGCGATTTGATTGAAATTGGCATGCCCGCGCGGAGTAATTTTGCCTCTTTTTTCCACAAAGCATTATTTTGTTGTAGTCCCTTAGTACATACTCTCCGTCTCAGAGGTATAGAAAGGATAGAGCTTTTGGCGTTGATCAACCTACTTTGGAACGCGCCTTGCATCCGATTTTGAAAAATAGTGACATTTTGAACGCAATTTAGCTTTGCTTGGCCGGTCGATGGACAATTAAGTGTTTTTATCTTCCCAGATAGGTCCGATACTAATTTTGTCGAGCTCGAGGTATCACCTTGGTTGGCCGGTCGACACATGATCCATCTTCGTACCAAACGCGTTTGTGTTCGGAGGCAGCGTCAGCTTGCCGACCACCACACCACTTTCGCCCTAGCATACATACATCTGTTTAATATTAGCTCCCAATATTTGGGACAGGGAGGCTCAGTTGAAAGGCGAAGCGAGCTCTTGACGGTTCACGCTTCACGGTTATGTTTGGTGAATGAACGCCGCTATATGCAGGCGAATTACTCTAGGGTTTATACTAACCGAACCAAGTCATAGCGCGCCTACTGTTGGTTGCTGTGTGGTGTGGTTTGCAACGTCAGTAAATGTTAGATACTCTCGGCAAGCCCAAAGCGATCCTCTCGTTAGCTTTCGATTGCTACAGATTTTATTGCAACTCAGCCTATGCCGTGGCTCGAAAGACTTGATTTTTCCCATTACAGAGGGGCTCCACATTGTCATTTAACGACGGCGGTCATTCGCGCGGTAAGCACTTTGTCCCACGCTCTGCAGGTCGCATGGAACAATGTGGTTCGCATACGAATCACATGTGATCTACCTTTTCGCGCATGCGCAATTTTCCAATTGTTTCGAAAATTTGTCTCAAACATTACATCTCAATATAACCCTCTGTCCAACAGAAAGGTTTCATGACCTCTAGATTACAAAAGTTTTAATGTTTCTTCGCTCAGACAATCTGTATGCTATACGAAGTTATTACGCCATTGATAGGTATGAAAAACGACATACAGAAAGTATGGAGCATTATGGATGGCAGGATTTGTGAGTTTTTTTTTAAACAACCAAGGCACAAACTTTTTCGACATCCACAGCAGCGATTCTTGCCCATTTCCCCTACAATCGTGGCCATCCCACAGCCATTTGCACGGAATTTCACGGTTCATAGGCATTGACCATTGCTGGAGAAGTTTATGGGCCGAGAAACTTCTTTTTGTGAAAGCTATGAACCTGGATCGTCAGTCAATAACGCATAGCTCCATAGACATACATACACCACCGAGCCACGCCAATGTCTCCTTAGTCGGAATCCTCCTCCTTCCTTGACATTTCACATTGCGTGCTGGGTGAGACACTGTTTCGTCTTCTCACGCTCGGCCCTTTTCCATGGACTTATAGTTAACTTTTTCTGTTCAAATGCCAAAAAATCTCAATTTTTTATCAGTTCCAAGCATTTCTCTATGAACTTTCTATCGAGAAGTGGTGTTTCTTCCTGCTTAGTTTCCGATGCATAGTATATTTTCTATATGTTTCTGTTCCATAGCCCCCATGGTGCGAACGTGAGTCACGGCGGAAACGCCTGGAAGAAACGTACATGTACCACGAACTAAGAGAGAAGAACGCGTGCTGTCATCATTTTGTTAAATGTAGAAAGAATCACGTATAGTGGTACGTGATTCTTCCTACATTTAGAACTTATATCAGTAGGCAGACGATAACAAATAAATCAACAGTGATGATCAAGATTGTCAGCAAGATGGAATGCCGAGAATAAGCGGAGTACTTTTCTTGCGGTTTTTTCGATGAGACACGACGGATCTCCGTCTTTAAATTGATGGCCTTACAAAAAGAACAGCAGTGATTCACGGCACTACAATGATAAATGTTGACAGCTGGCGTAAGTCTCGTTTGACAAAAAGTACCATTTGCGTAGTAACCTATACGAATTGCACGTGCTGGACTGCACCAACGAAGGAACTAGCTTAATGATGACAGACCAACACCATGTATAACAAGATACGTTTTCGACCTAAGCCTTCAATCGAAGCAAAGCATAGGCCTAAACAAAGCATTTAACCGTGTCCGCGCAGGGAACCGCAACCCTTTTGTGTCTTCAGAGGCTGTAGCATAATGCTGGAGCGTATTAGGCCAACTACTGCTGCTGCCCAAAGGAAGAAAACTAAAGAGAAAAACTTTAAAACTTTTTTGTTCTTAAGCATTCGCCAACTGCCCTCGAGCCAAGAAGTAAACTCTTCGTTCGGCCTCAAAGAATATGTAAGGGCTCGAAAATTTCCATTGCTCTTTCCAAACTCCTTATATGGAGCTGGATGCGGAACTTCCCTTTCAGCCACTATACTCGGCTAACTAACAACGCTAGAAGGAAGTTCATGCAGGGAGGCCGAAATTACGGACAGCCGCGCTCCGCTCCGCAAACCTTAGTCAATTTTTATGTTCGTAGCGCTTAATGCTGCTTTTTTGGTGCAACACAGTACTTATAATTTTCTTGCAAAAATGATGTCAAGGCAGCATTCGAAACGTTGAAGCTGTCTCTATCTTAGAACATTTCTTGAATTGTGTAAAATGTTCCGCACACTACTTCCAGTGGCCTCTTGAGGAGAACACGACTGTGGTGAGCGGTACCTTTGAAGAAATCGGGAGTTAGGGGAAGATTTCTGTAGCGAGATGTTAAAGAACACGACAGCTTCTCTGCTACTGAGCAGAAAAAAATTAAGTCGTGGAAGAGTTAAGAGTGCACAGAGTATAACGTGATCTAAACTCGAGAAAGCATTCAGTGACGTTTAAGAAAATTATTGAACCCATTAGGCAGAGTAGAAAGCGTTTTCAACTGTTCATAGAGAAGCAGGCAGGACAGCGTTGAGTGTTCCGTTAGGGGAGGGGGTGCGCTGTCGCGGCCCAAGCTATTCTTTTGTTCAGTGAACGGCCGAATGAACGGTGGATAGGAGAAACGTAAAGAAATTAAGAAACGCTTCTTGGTAACCCTCACCAAATAAGATGTACTGATCACTGATAAACGCCCGGCGATATGACTATACGGAACAAATAGGCAATTGCTTTAACCACTACATATCACTGATGTACACTAACTAAGAGGTCAAACCGAGAGGTAGTAGCAGTAATACAAAAATGATGTTTCATTCGAGTAGCAACCGAGTTTGAAGATGGAGTTGAGAAGTACTGGAAAATTTGAAGCGCTATCATAAAAAGTTCTTCCACCAAATGTATCCGGTCAAAAGCACGTGAAGCTTCTTGACAATGATGCGCCGCCATAGCAGAACGTGAAATCTGTGTGATGGTATAAAACGATCGAGAACAGACGGTGACATTTGATAAGAATTGTGTACCCTGAGACGGTGCAAGATTAGGGTTCGGAAGAGAAGAAAAAGATGGAACGGAAACATCAGAAGGACAACATCCTGCTTCTCTTAAACGCTTCTCTTATTGTTATTATCCTTTACTTTTTATTGTTCCATTCTGATTTACAAAAGTGGTCTCCTACAGAGTGAGTGATGAATTCTTTGATCTCGAATCGCAGTAGGGTTGCTGAGACGTTTGCTCGAATAGTCACGAATTGCTTCAAATGCTTCAACGCTTTGAGGCTCCGAAGACGATCCCTGCACTTCGCTAACTCAATCAAGGTTGTTTACTTACCTTGCGAGGAGTTCCAAAGAAGATATCAACAGCGACATCATGCCAAAAGTTCATTCAAAACCGTACAGCGACTTCTCTCAAAGCAACAACCCCTATGAGATCCTCTGAGAATCTGTTCTGTGGGTGGGATAGAATAGCCCGCAACACGCGATTATCGGCGTAACCGTAGTCGCGGCTCTCGAAAGTCC